GACACTCATTAGCCCAATGAAATCCTTTCTTGCATTTGGGGCATATAGTTTTAGGACGATCCCTGGCTGGTCGCAGTCCCGTAGGGCATTCTTTAGAGAAGTGCCCAGGTTGTTTGCAATTGAAGCAAGTTTTGTCCCTAGTAAAATTTTGAAAGGCAGCTCCTATCGCGAGGCCCATTGTATGGGCTGTCCCAATTCCTGAACATAGTTTAATGTAGTCAGAAAGGAGGCCCTGCCTGTGGGGCCTGATGGTTTCTTGGCATGCTGAATTAGCATTTTCAAAGGCCAGATGTTTTACAAAAGCACTTTCTTCTGATTCCCCAGCTATCCTTTCAGCTGCACTTGTAAGGCGACTGATAAAGTCAGCGTATGACTCATCCGGTCCCTGGCGTATTTTTGCCAGAGAGGAGGTGGCAGGCCCCTTTGGGGGGAGGTGCCTCCAGCCTCTGAGAGCCGCGTTTTGTATTTGTGTTAAGAATCCAGGAGGAAAAACTGCCTGTGCTTCATTTGTGACTGGTGGAGTATTATTTTTAAGAGCCTTTTCACTAGTTTTAATAATTTCTTGAATATCTGGCTCTAAGGGATGGGTTTTAAGGATTTCCTGAATTAAATTCCAATAGGAGAAAGCAGTTACAGGGACCTTTTCTGGCCCAAAGGTTTGGTAATAATCTTGTAATGCTTCCCCTACTCTTTTCCATTTCTTGTGATTTATTGTTCCCTCGACAGGGAACCAGGGGCAGGTGTCATGGATGAAAATAAAAAAACTGTTTTAAATCTTTTCTTGAGACCTTAATTCCTCGTGCTCTGAGAGACTCTTTGAGCCCCTGAACAAACTGTTCCTGGGAGCTAGAAGTATTGCCCATGCCTCTTAAATATCGCCCCTGCGTGAGCTTCGCCGGTCAGTATTTGTGCTGACACACATCCGAGAGACCCGGTTGCCTCATTGTAACCGTAGGTCTCCGGTAGACGGCTTAGGAGGAACAATACACCGCTCCTCCTACTCAAAGCAGGCTGGCAGGTCTTGTCAGAGACTGGGGTCCCTACCTTCAAAGGGACTGCTACTGAATGCTTGTTTGTGTGTAATGCGTCGGTTCATCTTACCAATGTGATCTGTCTCACGGCGGTCGACCCGTGGTGACCCCGAGAATGATCTGTCTCACAGCGGTGGACTGTAGCGATCCTGAGGCCGATCTGTCTCACAGCAATGAACTGTGGCGATCCTGAGGGGGTGGCTTGCGCAGGCCAGTTGGGGGAACCGACGTTCCTTCTGGAGCTCCCCGCTCTTCTCTCGAGCTGGACTCATGAGCCACGTTGGGCGCCAGGAATGTCCCGACCTGCAGGACACTTCTACAGTGGCATGACGAGTGGGGGTCCTAGAAGGAATGACAAACAAGGAACACGAAGAAAGAGAGCAAGACAGTGTTCTGATCAAGCTCCAAAACTGGTAGTGGGGAGGGGGGAGGTGAGGAGAAGGAAAGTGCTGGGCAGACACTAATTGGTGTTGTTGGATGCTATAGCTAGGGAGGGTTATTCAAGGGGCATTTCTTATCCTAAAGGAACATCTGCTAACTGTTATGGTGAGCATAAAACATTTCTCAAGGCTGACTTAGCCTGGGTCACAGAGTTGTTTTTCTACATTCTTTAACTAAGTGCTGTCTTATAGAAACTTACAGAAAACCATTAAGCTGTTTTTTCTCAAGGCCATAAAGATTTGCAGGAAACCATAAAGCTGTCTTTTTCTCAAAGCCATAAAGATGTTTCTCTTCTGGCCTTTTGGCTCCCAACAATTTTTTAAGTTAAAAGATTTACTTTCACGGATATGAGTATTTTTCCTGTATGTATGTATGTGGACTGTGTGTGTGCTAGGTACCTTCAGGTCAGAAGTGGGCATCAGATCCCCCTGGAACTTGAGTTACAGATGGTTATTAGCTACCACGTAGGTTGTGGGAACCAAACCCGTCTTCTGCAAGAGCAACCAGTGCTCTTAATCACTGAGCCATTGCTCCAGTCCCTTATATCTTAACACTGCAAGAAAGGCTTTATTACCATGGTACAGGTGAAGAAGATCAGGACTGACTTACTATGAAGCCTGCTTCGGACATATCTAGTAAGTAGCAATATAGCTAACATCTGTTTCCAAAACCTAGGGTCTATATATGTCTCATAGCACAACCCATGGGAAATAATTTTTCCAAGTCTGAGCTTTGAAGTCAGATGGCTCTAGTTTCATCGAGCCCTGGTTGTTCCAATTGGTCATAAGCAAGTTAGTTATTCAACTTTTCTAAAAAGCCTCAATATTTTTTCAACTATAAAATGTGAACATTAATATGTACCTCAGAGTTCATGATGAAAATGGGAAATTGCCTTTAAAGTACGAGCCGAAGGCTGGTAACAAGGCTCAGGAGGTAAAAATGCCTGCCTCCAAGCCCAACAACATGAATCCAATCCCTGGGACCCACGTAGTATAAGGAGAGAAATGACTCTTCCAAGTTGTCCTCTGAATTAAACATGTATGCGATGGCATGCATGCATGCATACATACACACACACACACACACACACACACACACACACACACACCAATACCAATGTAATTTAAGAAATAAATTAACTGAGTCACAGGATCTTACTGGAACTCACTGTGTAGAACAGGCTCGTCTCGAACTCACAGAGATCAGCCTGCCTCTGCTTCCGGAATGCTGGGATTAAAGGCGTGCACCATCACACCCTGCCAGAGAGAACTTTTCATAGCACCATGCTTCACCCACTCCTCAGTTACAGAGTAGAGATAGACCCACAGATGAAGTGAGACCGCCACACTTTCCAGGATAAACTTTATTCAAATCTTGGGTTGTATCTGCATACCACCAAGTTCAAACAGAATAGTAGCTACTTAGTTAAGTAAACAAGGCAAAGTTTCCAAATCAAAACCACAGTTCTAGATGAATTCTTGTTGACACAGCCAAGGCATTCGGTAGCATCATGTCTTGCTTGCCATGAACCTAGATTTTTCTATTTTAATATAAACAATATATTGAAAAGATACCAATTTTTTTGATATGTACTAATATGTTAGAAAAATAAATCTTCCCAGCTGATAAGAAATAAGAGACAATTAAAGGCTGCAGAAGAGCCCAGATGTAGCTAGACAGTAACATGTATGCCGCCTAGACAACTGAGACTTATTGTTTCCATCACGGATCAATTTTTTTCTAAAGGACAACTTTTCAGCTTCCTCCAGTATCCTGGTCTGGGTACCATGCAATTTAAGAGCAGCTTCTCATTGTCTGTGTCTACGGCTCTGGAATTAAATCTGCATCGCCTCCAGACTCCCTCTCTGTGGCAAGAGAATCTGGATGAGAAGAGAGAGAAAAGGAAAGATGAGTTCTGATTACTACCAAGAAACATTCTCACAGAAGTGATTTATTTCCTTTTTAATATTCTGGCTCTCACACTGTACTTAGTTTCAGAAAAGGTTAAGACATTTGGAAATTGACTCATTTTATCTTTTGCTACAATGAAGGTAACAAGGCAGCCAATCAGGTCTTGGATTAGTCTGTATTCTAACTAATGCCACCTGGGGCTGGTTTCATTATGAATGTGCCTTAATTCTAAGAACCAGTGTGCTGGGCTTTTAAAAACTATTTACTTAGCTGTGTGCATATGCTTATGGCACACACATGCCACGGCACACATGTGGAAGTGGACAGATGGCAGGCAGGTTCTTTCCTCCCACCATGTGGTCTCCAGAGATCGAACACGGGTTGTCAGGCTTGGCCGCAAGTGTCTTTACTCATTGAGCCATATGACCCATCCCCAATGTGCTGCTTATGAGCAAGAAATATGCAGTTTTGAGATACACAAGTTAAATCTTGTCATAGTGATAAGCTCAAAGTTCAGAAAGCATTTTCAAAAGATTAACATTTAGAGATAATTTCAACATGTGAATTAACTTTGAGAAAATAATTTAATTTTTAAATTACATTTATTTTCTCTATGTATGGGTATGTGAATACTATGTGTATGTGTGTAAGAAATAAGAGACAATTAAAGGCTGTGGAAGAGCCGGTGCATGTGTGTGTGTGTGTGTGTGTGTGTGTGTGTGTGTGTGTGTGTGTGTGTAGGTTAGAGGGCATCTTGTGAGAGCTGGTTCTCTTCTACCATGTGGGTCCCTGGGATTAAACTCAGGCTGTCAGGATTGGCAGCAAGTGTCTTAACCCACTGAGTCATCTCACCAGCCCTAGGAAAAGCCTTTAAGGTCCTTTAAAATATGAATTTATCAGACTGAGAATTTAACTTCCAAGATTTAGTCAGGTGTCCAACAAATTCCCTCTGATATTTCAACAACCTAGTTCTTGGTTATTTATTCCAATTAACCACAGTTAAGCTTTTTTACCCCATTTTTGTACTAATAACATCCAAGAAAATTGACAAACCATTTTCTTTGAGAGATTAAAGGTATCTTCATGGCTTGGCAATTCTGGATGACAAAAATATTTTGTTTTCACAAACACAAGTTACCTTTAATCACGGTATCATCTGATGAGACACAGGAATGATCCTTTCCCACTCTTTGTAATGCACCCTAGCAAAAGGAACCTTCGCATCAGTATCATTTTAAAAAATATAGAGAGTAGTTAAAAATCAGCAACAGGACCACAGACAAGCCAGAAGAAATGGTAAGCAATAAAAAGCATTCTTACTAAATTATAACAGTTTGATTTTAAAGAATCAGAAACACTCATTTTCCTGGAACATCTTGGCACTAGTACATTCTACATAGGGAGGAGAGTACTTTTCCCCTTGTTTGTAAGCTTCTCAAACCCTGATAACTTTGATGAAGGAAGGAGAGGTGCTTAGGATGTACCTCAGTTGGTAGAGTGCTTGCCTAACACACAGGAAGCTTGATCTCCATCACTTGAGTGTGGTGATGCATGCCTTGTAATCCCAGGACTTGGGAGGTGGAGGCAAGAGGATCAGAAGTTCAAGGTCTTTATCCTCTACTACATAACCACCTTGGGGTCAACCTGGGCTACTCAGAGGACCCTGTTCAATGAGCTGCTATGCAAAAACATTATCCATGGTAAGCCACAGATGAGTCACTAATGACTATATTCCCTTCAATAACTCATGGTATTGTGTGAGACAGAAGCTTCTTAATAAGGCATTTCCTTATGCAAACTTGTGAAAAAATTAAATTTTTCAGATAAAATTCTAAAAAGTACAGTCAGAAAGACATCTAGAGACTAATGACTTAATGTCATGCATAATTTAATATCTCATAATACTCACTTTTAAAAGAAAGCTCATTTGTAGATGGCTGTTCTTATTTAAGAACTCTCTTAAATTTGTGAAAGGATCATTTAAATCTTATTCATAACCAAATATAAAATCTATCAATGCCTTTCTCATCGGTAGTTTCTAAATACCTGTTCATTGGCTTAGTTGAAGCCATGTGCAGCTACATACAGATAAATGTCAGTTTGAGTAGTCCTAAATAGCTTTTTTTCTCTTTATCAGCGTCAGGGCATTTTATCCTACTAGAGTCCTGTATCTCGGTATTTGGCCATGGACTCTTCAAAATGAATAGATGGGGACAGCCAGAAGGTAAAGGAAACCTTAATACAGATGAAAAATTACAGTAGGCTGTTGTCTTAGAAAAAAAAAAAAAAGAGGTAAAGAGAGGAGTTCAATGCTTTCACAGTGACATGATCCAAGAGGGTGTGTCAGGAAGGGCCTACAGCATGAACAGCTTCAATATACTGTAGACAGCCTTCTAGTTGTAGCCAGTATGGAATGAGCTTATTGTAGCTTCTCTTCCACTGACCACAACTGAAAGTTCTGGACATATACAGCACACCACACCAAGCCACACTAAACCATATCAAACCAAACCACACCAAACCAAATCAAACAAAAGGAACTACCTGACAAGTGTGAAAAGTAAACAGGAGCTGGTAGGTTGACACTAACAGTGAAAACTACACGTGGACCTCTCCCTTCCCCTCCCTCACCTCTCTCTCCCTCCCCCTTCTCCTCCCTTCCCCCCATCCTCCTTCTTCTTCCCCCCTCTCTGTCTCTCTCTGTCTCTCTGTTTCTGTCTCTGTCCTGCCCCCCGCCCTCCGTATGCATGTATATGTGTGTGTGTCTGCGGGCAAGCCAAATCAAAACTGTACAGCGGGTAGACCGCAAAGCTCTCAAAAAGAAGCCTCTATTTTCTAGCCAGAATAGAAGGAAGTGTCTCTGAATTCTACAAAAACAGGAAATGGGTGGGAAATTCCTTTATGGTTACTTCCTTCTCGTTTTCCTCCTGTCCCTGTGGTGAGTGACAACAGCAGCCTTGCAGGCACCTGGAATGTGGGAGGAGGCCCATCTCTCTGGCTTGTTAGCTGAATAGGAGGACAGGTTTATTATTTCCTTTCTCTTCCCAGCTTCCCTCCAAGAGGCAAACTCAGTTACAGAGAGCCTGAGGAACACAGAGGAAACCAAGAAAGAAACATAGCTTTCTACCCAGGGGACCAAAAAAGAGGCTTCTGGGGACTTGACACAAAAGGAAATACAGGCGCCGGGGAGACAATTCAGTTGAATGTGTTTTCTACACAAGCGTTTGGATCTGAGTTTGATCCCTGGTACCCACATAAAAAGCCGAGTATGTTGGAACACACTTGGATTCCCAGTATAGGGGGAGGATGAGGCAGACAGATCCTTGGAGCTTGCTGGTCAGCCAGACTGACCAACTTGGCCAAGTTGGTGGGCCCTTGATCCCAGTAAGAGACTCTGTCTCAAAACAAGAAAAGCAAACAAAAGAACGTAGATGGCTCCTGAGGAACACCAGAAGTTGAGCTCTGACTTCCACACATACATGCGTGTACACCCACATATATGTGCAACTGCACACATACCACAAAAGAGGAAGTATAGAGGAAATCTCAGAGGTAAGATGGTGAACAGTGTAAACCCTGCTACTATACATGAACTCATGCTAAGTCTCAGGATCAGCCCTGAGTTGTGCATGGCAGGTCAAGCAGGCCCAGCAGTCTTTGATATCTTTCTACCAACCACACCAAAACTCCCAGGTGGACCTCTGAGCAGCTGAAGTACTGGGTAGCCCTAAGCAACAAGGCATTGAAAAGTGAGAGAGAGAAGAGAGAGAGAGAGAGAGAGAGAGAGAGAGAGAGAGAGAGAGAGAGAGAATGATTACAACAGGAACCTGAGTTTATCACCTACTACAAAGGCCCATCAACCTTCTTCAGAAGATGTTAACAGAACTCAAGTCTTACAACATAAGACTCAAAATATTCAGGATAAACCCCCAAATTATTTAGCATATAAAAATTTAGGGAGACTTGAACCATTTCTCCAAGGAAAAGACAATCAAAAGACACAAACCTCATTAAGACCAAGAATTGAACTATCAGAAGCAAGAAGTTCTAAAAACCCCAGATAAAGCAAACCTAAATGCCCAGAGACACATTACAATGGCTGAGGAAACCACCCAGCCTTATAGTCTTAAATGAGGAGCAGACTATAAAACTATATATACTGCAAAACATCTGTGTGTCTGCAATGTGTGAATGAAATACTTAAATTCAATGTAACCAGTAAAAAATATCAAAGAAAATCTATCTTTGTATAGTGTTTATTACAGGTAGCTATTTTTCATTTAAATTTTTTACAAATTTATTTTTAATTTTATGTGTGAATGTGCACATGAATGCAGTTGCTCTCAGAGGCTGGAAGAGGGCGCCATATCCACTACAACTGGAGTTACAGGTGAGTGGCCCAACGTGGCTGGAACTGAACTGGTGTCCTCTGCAAAAGCAGCATGTGCTCTCAGTTTCTGACTATCTCTCCAGGCCCTTCCTTTTAAAATTTTCTTCTATTTCCCAGGTTTTTCTTTTTTGCAACGAAAAAGAACACCAGACAATTTTTTATTCTTTAACTTCAGTGAAAAATCAAGGAGTAAAACATGAACTTGACAAAGTGATGTTGGGACTACAGACCAGGGACTTTGAATGTTGTTATGGTGTTTTCAACTGTTGTTGCTACAGATTGTTTCCTTTATTTTTCCTACTACAAGGGCTTTGAAAATTGCTCATCCCATCACCTTTCATTAATCAGTGCACAATCCATACCTCAGAGGGATTCTTATCTACCTTAGGGATAGCATTCCAGACATTCTCGGGGCTCACTGTCTCCTCCATACCATTTGAAAGGTTCAAAACCTACAGAAAAAACACAAGGCTCAGAGAAAAAAGTCAAGCTCCCCAAATCATAGTTGACAGATGTGTTACAGTAATCCTTAAAAGAAACACTTAACCAGTTATGAAGATGATAACATTAAGGACTGGGGATGTAGCTCAGTTGGTAGAGTGCTTGTCTAGCATGCATGAAGTCCTGGGCTCAATCTCCAGTATTACATGAACCATATGTGGCGGTGCATGCCTACTACCCCAGCACTCAGGAGATGGAGACAGGAGGAGCAGTGTTCAAGATCACAAGGCCATCTTTGGCTACTATCAAGTATGAGGGTAACCTGGGATACATGAGCCATTGTCTCAAAAAAAGAGAGAAATTAAATTAAACCTTGCATTTTTAAAAAGTTATTTAATAACCACATGATTAGAAGAAGCATTTCATTACAACATTAACATATTCAGTAACAATTTCCAGAGCAAAGATGCATCTCTTTCAATATTGGCTATAATTTTAGGTTCACAGTTGAATTAATACAGTTATACAATATTGGACTCAGTATAAACCTTATAAGACAAAATTGAATGAGGTTTTAACCTATAAAAAAGATCTCCATTTCATTTTAAAATATACTATTTCATACAGAAAAACTCATTTTTAATGCTACTAACACTTAGATGTTTGCAAATGCATCTCTTATCTCTAGGTATCTGATTATTACTAGTCACAGTAGGTTACTTTCTGAGATCCACCTAAGCATAGATATAAAATCGGGTAGATTTCAATGGTAATGTGTTTCACCTCTACTAATTAACATGAAACAAATTTTTATGCTTCTTCCTCAAATATAACTCATTTTTAAAATTTTGTTGATTTTTTTTGTGTGTGTGTATTTCATACAGAACATCCCAAACAATCTTGTTCGTCGATATACCCACATCCCAAATGGCACTGTCCCGTGGTCCGCCCCCCCAACTGGAGCCCATATACTCTGTTATCCCTGTTACTGTCCACTGTGTTGTCGGTGCCCCCAGCCATTCTCCAGTGCTTGTCCATCTGCTGACTCTACTCAGCCTATCTAAAGTTCCTTGTTTCAGGAAGATCAGCTCTTCCTCATCTAACAGCAATCAGCTGCCAACATTCCTTTAGATAAGATTGGGGTCTGCTGTTCATTTTTCCAGTTCTATCCTGGGTTACCGTCTGGGAGGCTCTTGGGCCACCCTGGCTAACAACTCTTATATCTCTTGTCTGGCACTGTTTCTTGCTATATAGCTTTTAGCTATACACATGGACTCTTAAAAAGAATTATATTGATCCCTTTAATCATTGGTTATACTTTCCTTTTGGGTGTTTAAGACTATACAGTTGGTCCAGATAAAACTATTTTTTTTTATTCTTAAGGTCATTTGAGGATCTGTTCCTCATGGGTCACATGGGATTGGAAGGAGCCCCTGGCTCCTTTCTTTTACCAGTTCCATCTATGTGATAAGTCAAAGGTCCTGCTTGACCATGGCTGGCATTGCTTGGAGGCATGGAGGAAATATTTCCTCTGTGTTGATGCTCCTCTTTGTAGAATGGACACTGGTTCAAGTCCATTTGGTGGGGCCTCCATAGCCTCCTTGATCAAAAGGACAGGTGACTCACCACAGTTACAGGACATTTTGAGAGATGCTCATAGTCCTCTGGAGCTTAATCAACCTAGGAGGGCAAGGAGCAAAAACTGTCCTTTATGTCCCTGTGACCAAATTAGTATAGTCCTCAAAGTATGGCTGTTAGACATCCAAGAAGCTTAGTTCCACCAGTCTAGTACTTTTAATTACCATGTGCTATGTAGATAAAGCTTGGGCAAAGACCAAACATTCTCAGATAAACCTTGCCTAGACATGTATTATATTCCTTGAACTAGTTGTATGTATAATTTGTCACTGGTTGTTCAATTAATATGGTTCCCTCTGGATTTTTCAAACTAGGTAGGCATTTATCTCTTGTACTGTGTAACCCTTCCACCATGGTTTCCCCATTTAAAGTGCCCCCATTTTTCCCATTTCTCTCTTAATAATACCCTTCTCCTATGGTCCCACCTCTCTGGAGCTCCGTCTTTCCCTGTATCCCCAAGGTTCCTTGATTAATCCTCCCTTCCCCCTCCCCTTAAAATAAGCCCATTTTTATCCATATCTCCCTTATTAATGCCTGTTTCCTACTGGTATTCTCTTTCAGATTCTTTCTTTTCCTTTACCTCCCTGGTTCCTTTCCATTATCCTGGTTCTTATAGTTATGTCTGGATACATACTTATCAGGATTTGGTGCTAGGATCCACATATGAGGGAGAACATATGTCGATTTTTTTTCTGAGATTGTGTTACTTCACTTAGTATAACAGATTCTAGTTCCATCCATTTACTTGCAAATTTCATGATTTCATCTTTCTTTACTGCTGAGTAAAACTCTGTCAGATAAATGAACCACATTTTCATTATGCACTTGTCAGTTGAGGGGCACTTAGGTTGCTTCCATCTCTTAGCTATTGTGAAAAGAACAGCAACAAACATGGATGTACAAGTGTCTATGCAATAGGATGAGTTCTTTGGGTATATACCAAGGAGTGGTATAAGTGAGTCAAGTGTAGGTTCATTCATAGTTTTTGAAGAGTTCTCCACACTGCTTTCCATGGGGTTTGAACAAGTTTGCAGTCCCATCAGCAGTGGATGAGTATTCCTCTTTCCACACATCTTCTCCAACATTTGGTATCCTTTGTTCTCTTGATCTTATTCAGTCTGACTGGAGTAAGATGAAATCTTAAAGAGGTTTTAATTTGCATTTCCCTAATTACTAATGATGTTGAACATTTTTTAGGATGCTTCTTAGCCATCTTTATCTATTCTTTTGAGAACTCTCTGTTCAGCTCTTTAGCCCATCTTTTAATTGGATTACTTCCTTTCTTAACTCTTTGTTTTTAGTTTGTTATATATTCTGGATGTTAAAACTCTGTCAGATGTGTCACTCATGAAGATTTTCTCCCATTCTGTGGGTTTTCTCTTCACTTCCTTTGTTCCTTCTTTTCATGTACAGAAGCTTTTTAGTTGAATGAGGTGCCATTTGTTGATTCTTGACCTTGTTTCCTGAGCAATTGATGTCCGGTTTAGAAAATCTTTCCCTGCACCTATATCTTGTAGGTTATTGCCAATGTTTTCTTCTTGGCCCCTTTGTCAAATATCAGGTGGCTGAAATTGCATATACTCATATTTCGGTCATCAATTTTGTTCCATTGATCTACGGGTCTATTTTTGTACAAATACCATGTTGTTTTCATGACTATAGCTCTGTAATACAGTTTAAAACCTGGTATAGTAATCCTCCCAGCATTGCTCTTAGTGCTCAGGGTTGCATTGGCTATCTGAGGTCTTCTGTGATTTCATATGAATCTTAGGGTGTTTTTTCCAACTCTGTGAAGAATGTCATGGGGATTTTGATTGGCATTGCATTGAATCTATAAATGGCTTTTGGTAGGATGGTCATTTTCACAATATTAATTCTTCCAATCCACGAGCAATAGAAGACTCCTGGTGTCTTCCTCAGTCTCTTTCTTTAAAGATTTAAAATTTTATTTGTGGAGATCTTTAATGTCTTTGGTCAGGTTTATTCCAAGATATTTTTTATTTTTTGCAGCTATTGTGAAGAGGAGTGTTTCCATGTACTCTTTCTCTCTTATTGTTTGTTATTGGTATATAGAAAGGCTACAGAATTTTGAGTTTTCTGGTGGAATTTTTGGCATCTCTTAAGTATAATATATCATCTGAAGAAAGGGCTAATTTGATCTCTTCTTTTCCAATTATTACTCCTTTAATTTCCTTCTCTTGTCTTATTGCTCTTGCAAGAGTTTCAAGCACTATGTTAAAAAGGAGTGGAGATAGTGGACAGCCTTGCCTGGTTCCTGATTTTAATGGGAATGCTTCCAGTTTTTCTCCATTTAGAATGATGTTGGCTGTGGGTTTGTTGTATATAGCTTTTATTATGTTGAGGTATGTTCCCTCCAGTCCAATTCCCTCTAGAACTTTGAACATAAATGTATATTGAATTTTGTCAAAGGCCTTCAAAATCTACATCTATTGAGGTGACCATGTGGTTCTTGTGTTTGAGTCCATTTAAATGATTTATGACATTTATTGACTTATGTATAATGAACCATCCCTGCATTTCTGGAATAAAGCTGACTTGATCATGGTGGATGATCTTCTTATTGATGTGTGTCTGTATGTGGTTTGCAAGTATTTTGTTGAGAATTTTTGTATCTATGTTCATTAAGGATATGGGTCTATAGTTTTCCTTTTCATTCATCCTATTGGTGAAGCTTTGTCATTTCTAATTGGCTTACTGAGTGTTTCACTTCCTTCTTCATTTCAGCCTGAGCATTCACTATTTCTCTTTTCTGAATTCATTCAGAAGTTTATCCCTATCTTCTTTCAGTTCTTAGATTTCTTTGTGTGTTCTTTAAATTCACTGAATTCTTTTATCATGTTTATAATTGTTCTTTTGAGTTCCACATCTATCTTATCTCTAGGGGTTCTCATTGTACTTGTCTAGAGGACTGATGGTACTTGGTGGGGATATACTATTTTTATTTTTCATGTTACTATTTTTTCTCTATGACTTTGACATGTGGATTTCTTTTGTAGATTCTGGTTCTTGTGTGAGACTCAAGCCTTCCTTTGTTGAGTTTAGGTCTTCTTCCTTTTGTAAACTTTATGTGCCTTTGTGGTTTACTTTTACTTGTTGGGCATGAAAAGCTGGTTGGTCTAGTCTTCAGGCTCTTTCCTTTGATTTTACATTGGAAGGGCCAGATGGCTTTCATCCTGCTGCTCAGGAGTTCCCACAGAGGCCCAAGTCGGATGAGGATCAGATGTTCTCAGGCTTTCTCCTAAGGTCTGGATCCCTCCAGGAAAGACGCTGGCCTCGGGAGTTTAAGGGCTGGGCTGACCTGGGAGTAGGGCCCAGGAAAGATGCTGGCCCCACGAAGCTGATGGCTGTGCCCCCCAGGGATGCAAAGGGAGGTGGAACGAGAAGAGGTTCGAGGGCTCCTGGGGACAACAGGGAGGAATTGGGTTTGTCTAGATGCAAAGCATCAGGAAGCAGTGGGGAGTCTGGGCTAAGAGGTCAGTCCACAGGTCTGGGGTGTCACAAGAAGACATGGGCCAGTGCCCATGCTAGGAGGTGAGATGGGGTGGGGGAGCTGGGAGGGTGAATGAGGCTCGGGAAGTCAAGGCGCAGTGGGTGCAGCAGCCAAACTTACCCAGGGAAGCTGCTGGCTCCAGGAAGGGTATTTTATTTTTAAATATTTTATGTGCATGAGTGTATTGTCTGTATATGTGTAAGTGCACCCATATTGTACAGTGCATGCAGAGGAGAGAAGAGGGTGTTGGATTCCCTGGAACTGGAGTTACAGATAGTTGTTAGCTGACATGTGGGTGCTGGGAGTCAAACCCGGATATTCTGCAAGAACAGCAAGTGCTCTTAACTGCTGAGCCATCTCTCCAGGCCCCCCTAACATTTTAAAGAGTGTGCTCCAAACACTGTGTTGAGCATGCATGCCTACCAATAAAACTAGATTAAAATTTAGACCTCAAGTGTTCAAAATCTAGTGTAGAAAGACCTATTACCAGACAGGTGCAATATGGTATAATATGTCCACTCTGAAGCAGAAAGTTTGCTCCTATATGACCCAATGTCATCAAATACTGGAATATAATACAGGTATGAAGCTCTCTCCTGGAAGATATGGGGAAATCTATATAGTAATACCAGTGAGTACTTCTTGGAAATGGAAATGGCTAAAAGAAATCTTTAGTGATAATTTTGAATTAATTATTTAGTGAAGGAGATGGAACAAAGGGAAATGGGAGCACTGGTTAAATTCACCAAAGCACCAAGTGTGTGTTTGTGGTGTGTGTGTGTGTGTGTGTGTGTGTGTGTGTGTGTGTGTGTATGCATGCAAAGTCAAGCAGTTTGACATCTAATATATAGTATAAATTATAAAGAAGTAAAGCATAAAGCTGAACACTCCAGGGACACTTGGCAGAGCATCATATTAATGAACTTGTTATTTTCATGTGTCATGTTAATGAACACCAGTGGCTCTCCTATTTAAAGATTTATTTACTTATTAATTTATTTATGTGATGAGCATGTGCGCCTGCTTGTCTGTATGGGCACCAAGTGCATGCAGGTGCCCATAGAGTCCAGAAGAGGCCCTTGGTGCTAGCATTTCTGGTGGCCCATGTGGGTGGTGGGGACCCAGCTTGGATCCTTTGAAGTGCAGTATGTGCTCTTAACCCCGAACTATCTCTCCAGCCTTGGGTTCTCCCATTTTAATGGTGTGGAAACTTATATTCCTGAAACCTGCCTCCAGAAATTTGGAATCGGTAAGTCAGACCAAGGCCTAGGAATCTAGATTTTTAAAAACAGGTCAGTGACTCGAGTATATACTCTTTTACAGAAAACAAAACAAAAACAATAAACTATGCATTTCTATACCTTTTTAAAAATGAGGCAGATTTGAATCTCATAAACTTCATGTTAGCTCTGTGAGAGGAGACTAGAAGAAGAAAATAATATAAAAATCATTTGACTAATGTAGATAAGAAATGATGGGCTCATCAAACTACTGGCATTCTGCAGTCTGGTGAACTTTAGTAAAATTCTTGTCGCAGTCTACAATTGCATGTTGAGATAAAGTCCTTAAATTTCCCTCACCTTTGTGCCTTCTTCAGCTACTTCCAAAATCTCACACTTAGACCACGTGTTTCTGAGACTTGACCACACGACACACATGGATCCAACGGAGAAGCCTTTTAGAGTGTATGTGTTCTGTGGTTGAACTGCAAAATTGAGTAAAGGGAGACTCAGTATGTATCACTTAAAACCTTAATGTGAGATACACATGCAAAGTACTTTGCTAGTCTACATTTACTATCTCTATTTAATCAATAACATTTAATTGGTATGTTCTAAGTCTCTCTTTTCACTAATTTTATTTAAAATCATTTCAGTGACACAACCCCTTATAAGTTCAAGCACTTTCCTAAAACAAAACAAAACCATCAAATTTGACCTCTAACACTGAAAATTACTATTAAAAGCTGGTACTATTACTATCAGTAAAAATGTCCTCTTTCTGGCTTTATGACCTATAGCCTACCACATGCACACATATGTACACACGTGGAAATTAAGCTTCTGCATGTGATAGAGAATACAAGCTATTTGTTTCTCTGGGTCTGGGATACTAGCTAATGATCTCTAGTTTCATCCATTTTTCTCCAAATCTCATAATTTTGTTTTTCTTAAAAGTTTTTTCTGTTTTTAAAATTTTTTTTTGGCATACTTATTTTTATTTAAATGTTTTGCCTGTGTTTTGCCTGCATGTATGTAAGTGCATCCATATGGTGCAATGCCTGCAGAGGTCAGAAGATGGCATCAGATTTCCTGGAACTTGAGTTACTGATGATTGTGAGCCACCATGTGGATGCTGGGAACTGAACCTGGGTCCTCTGCAAGAGCAGTGAGTACCCTTAACCACTGAGCCATCTCTCCAGTCCCTTATTTTTAAAGATCTTTATATACTCTAGGTATTAGCATTCTATGTAGCTAACAAAGATTTCCAATTCTGAAACCATCTAAATAAGATTTTCTTGATTTTTATTTATTTGTGTGTGTGTGCATGTATGCTTATGTACATGCATATGGGTGTCCACAGAGGCCAGAAGAGGGCATTGGTGGATCTTCTGGAGCTGCCATTTGTGAGCTACTTGAGTTGGGTGATGTAATCAAATTTGGGTCCTCTGCAAGAGCAGCACGCCATCTGTCCAGCCTCCCTGAACAGGTTTCTAGGGATTAAAGCCCAGATGCAATACTGTGGGACAGTATGATCTGTATTTAGTTTTTAAACTGTATTCAGCAGATTACACAAATGGGATAAAAGATGACAAGATGGTACCATGGTGCTAGCCCTGAACATTTCTTGATGGTAACAGCATGGTGATTTTCATTCTCTTTGTTCTATTATTTTCTGTTTTGTATTATGGTTCACATTTAAAATAGAAACACTGACATTTAAAAGCACCATAATGGGGCTGGAGAGATAGCTCAGTGGTTATGAGCCCTTGCTACTTATGCAGAGGTCCTGGGTTCAGTTCCCATCATACACATAATGGCTCACAGCTTTGTCAATAACTCAAGTTCCAGAGAATCCAATGCCCTCTTCTGACCTCCTCAACCACTGCATGTGATGCACATATATACATGCAAGCAAACCACTCCTACACATAAAATAGAAATAAACAACTTTAAAAACTTGTTTAAATTTTTTTAAAAAAGGAGTCTGGAGAGATGACTCAGTTGTTAAGAGCACTGGCTGTTCATGCTGAGGACCCAGGTTCAGTTACCAGCATCCACATGATGGCTAACAACTGTTTGTAACTCCAGTTCCAAGGGTTCTGAGGCCCTCTTCTGACCTCTGCAGGCATTGCATGTACTGGCACATACATGCAGGCAAAACACTCATACACACATAAAATAAGAATAAAATATTTAAAAAATAATAAAAATAAAAAGCATAACATTGATCATGAAAGTCAAAAGGTAGTCATTTACTGTAACTTTAAAGCATTTTTATTGTTTTATAATCTTTTTAGGTAGCAAAGAAAATGTCAAATAATTCATAAGAAAGTCAATATATGAAATATTCTCCAAGCTTTACTCCTGACTGTTGGCTTTTCTGATTAATAGAGGCTCCCTAAATCTATTTTTTATTGTTGTTTAAGGGTTTCTAAATGAATGGTAAAATCAATGCATGACACAATTAAGTGTGTGTGAAAAAAAGAAATCTAGGTAGTCAAAGTGATCCCTATTATAAACTTATGCTTGCAGGAACACTTGGCCAGGGGAATGTTATTTATTTATTTATTTATTTAATTTATTTATTTACTAAAAAACTTAATAAAGACCATGGTTTTTTTCTTAAAACTTACCAAGACATATGCCATCTTGATTTTAATAATGAATTACTTACATTTTATATGTGACCATCTTTTGGAGATATGGATTTCAGTCTTATTTTATTTTTAATATTTTATTATTATTTGTGTGTGTATGTGTGTATTGCCTGCATGCAGGTACGTGCACCCATGTTGTGCAATGCCCACAGAGGACAGAAGAGGCTGTCGGATCCCCTGGAACTGGAGTTATGGACAGTTGTTAACCACCATGTGGCTGCTGGGATTCAAACCCAGATCATCTGGAAGAACAGCCAGTGTTAACTGCTGAGCCATCTCTCTAGCCCCCAGTCATTTTATTTTTAAACACGGAAGCAATATTTCAGCATTTCCTCTGGTGTATATATCATTTTACACTGATTTTGCAACTATATTTTCCATGCTTGGAAATGCTCTTCATAGGCCTACAATGGTGTAGACCTATGGTGTCATCCCAGCACTCAGGAGGCTGAGGAAGGAGAATCATTCATTCAAGGCCAGCCTGGGCTTTATATATTGAGACAATGTATCAAAAAATAAAACAAGGCTAAGAAAAGAAATCAAAGATCCTTCATAAAATCCAAATCTGATTCTCTTTCTTGTGCTTCATCTTTCTTCAAAAAAGTACTCATAAAATAATTATCCTTTTCTTTAAAATGAAGACCTTTTGAAAGATCCTCAGTGAGACTTAGAACTGAGAGAAAACAAACGTACCTGTTACAGCCTTGCCACACATCCTTCCATCCCTGGAATCGTCCTCAGAGAACAAAGGTGTCAACAAAGCCATGGTGTCTCTATTTTCATATTCCTCTTCAAAGATATTCATTTCAGCCTGTTTGGGGGAACCACAGCTCTTCTCATGATGGAGGAGTGGTGGCATCCAGTGGCCGTCCTCAGAAGAGCCCACACCACTTGACTCTCTCTCATCTTCTGCACACCTGGATTCCTGGAGAGCCCAATCAACAGTGACTGGCAAAGGACTTACACTGTCCTCTAAAGACAGCTGGGGTGTGGGTAGTTCCAGGTCTAGCTGCTTCTCGGCCTCACAGTCGAGGGGAAGCTGTACCGAAAAGGATTCCAGGGCAGCTCCTGCCTCACTGACTGGGGACAGCGGTGCCGTTGGTGACCCTAGGCCTAGTGCCTCTCTCTCTTCGTTCCCGATGGGGGAGTGCTGTAACTCAATGGATTCTAGTTCTAAGAATTCTTTGCATTCATTATCAGGAGAGAGGGGCACCTCCAGCGAGTTCAGTTCTAGTAACTCCTCTGTCTCACTAGAATGTGGCTTTATTGGGTTAAAGCCTGTCATTAGGTAATTATCATCAAACTTGGCTTTGTCCACAAAATGGAAATCCACATTACCCTCTAGTCTCTCAGAACCCATTTTACCTTTGCAGGGGTTTTCAAAAGCTTCAAAAATGTTAAGGGTACTATGTTCATAGAATTTACTCGACTTGGTTTCAATGATGTTTGAGTCTTTTTCAATTCTTTCAGAGAGCTTATCTGTCCGTGGTTCCGTATATAAGGTTTTATCTTGTACAACTTTATGACTTGGTTTCTTGAGAACAAGGTCAGGGCTGGGGCATCTAAGGACCCCCTTTCTCTCGGTGCCATGTTTCTCACAATATGGGTCACTCTTAGGAATACCAATTTTAGAATATTTCTTCATTTTCTCATTAATATTCTCACCTTTGCTTTTCAACTCGACTACTGCTAAGGGGATGCCACAGACATCACTTTTGATTTCTACTATTGTTATTTCCAACACATCTTCTGTGACTATTTCATAAAAATAATCATTTCCCTCTTGAGAGCATACACCTCCTGAGATATTAAATCCAGAGAGGCAACATGGAAATGCTTGCATGGGAACCAACAGAAGTTCAGAAGGAATGTTCCAGAGCAATTTGGGCTCCACACAGACTTCAAAGTTCCCAAAGTCCATAAGCCTGACGGAGGCAAGGTGATCTTCAGAAATATTAGTGATGAGGGCTCTATAATAATGACCATCCTCTCTGTATCTCACGATACATGGATCTCCAACACGGGGGCACTGGATATAGTTTCTCTGCTCCATGACCTGCTTTGCAGCAGTTTGAACTTCCCTTTCTAAATACTGCAGTTTCTCAGAATCAGCAAACTGACACCAAAAATACTCAGGTCCGTCTATCACGGTAGCATACACTCTTATCAACTTTGTTTTAGGATTATACCAGTTAAGAAATACTAAAGTGTCAATACTGGATTTGTTGGTTGACTTTGAACAGTCACCTTTCATTATTTGGGTAGTAAGTCCCATTTTAGATTTTTCACCCAAAGCATACCTGCTAATCACATCTTCCCCTATGATCCCATGTTCATCAGCAAGAATCACTTCCCAGATGCCTTGGAATTTCACAAATTCACAACTTATTTGAGCCTCCTCAGTCCTTTGGGAAAAGTAGCCAACCATTTCCTTACAACTTATGCTGTCGGAAGACAAAAATCCCCTTAAGGAGCAATGGAGACACAGCGCTGGTAACAAGGCGTCAACTGAGCCAAGCCTACCTGTTTTGTTTGTGTGAACTACAGACACGTTGCCATAGTCTATAAACTGTACAGAAAGAAGGTTGTTGGGTTGCTGTTCCATGACCACTGCGCGGTACCACAAATTGTCTTCTGGAAAAATGGCACATATCACGTCTCCGCTTTGCCAAGGCAGACCTGTGTGATACTGGGGCCTTGTTCTAACATCATTTAATCTCTTTGAAAGACGATTGATCTCAGCTTCATCTTCTATCAACTGAATGTAAAAATCTGAAAGGTTGTTAATATGAGAAATGTATACAGTTGTCTTAAAACCAGGTGCTACGGTCTTCTGTGGGAACTCACAAAACTTCAGAGGCAGATCTTTGTTACTAGAGTCCCCTATTCGTCTCTCTGGGAGAGTGACTTCTAGTTTTGTGGCACTCAAAGGTGGCTCAGCAAACATTTCTTCTTTCTTTTCTCTTGTTAATGGATATACTCCATCACTTTTGTTTCCTGGGGAGTCCTGATAGGGCATGATTAGGTTCGCCTTTGTTGAACACTGTAAATATCTGAGCTCCTTACAGACCGGGCTGAGCTTGGGTTTACATGATTCTCCCAACATCTCTACACTGTGTGATTTGTTCTCTCCTGGTTGACTTAAATACTCTGTAGGTGACAACATCACAGTTTCATTTTTGTCTTCAAGAGTTTCCTTTGTTTGGAGGAGGATTTCATTTTCTTTGTCTTTTCTTATTGCTCTGTTTTTATAACCAAGGAGTCCTAACTTCTCATTAATGCTGGCATTAATTTGAATGCTGTCGTCATAGAGTTCTATAATCAGTCTTCCATCTGGGTCTTTTGCTACAACTAAAGCTTTCAATGATTTATCTAAAACAGTTTCCTGAAACCATGCTGTGACTTCATCTGGAATACGACCATGGATATCAGATAAGGAACATTTAACAGCTTGCATGGGTAACAGGAGAACATCATAGGCATCTTGAGGTATCGGAAGCAGGGCGTCACTTGCTACGTAAGTGTTCCCAAAATCCACAAAGAAGACTTTATTTGGTTCTTTTTGTTTTATTATCCCCCTATACCAATTTCCATCCGTGTACTTGGCAAGACACAAGGTTCTGGGGATCAGGGAAGACATTTTTAAATTCAGCAAGACTTTACTTAGTTGTATAATGTTATATGATAACTGTTCTAAAATATTTGTATTTCTTGCCAGCTGGCAATAAAAGGTCCAAGGGTCATCAACGTGCGTGATATACACCAACTCTTTGCTGCCAACTTTTATGTCATGTGTAGAATAGTAGTAGGAATGTAGCTGAACGGAAGGTTCCAGAGGCTTCTGAAGTTTTACTGGTCTTGCCAGTCTCTTTTCTACCAAGAAACGGCAGGCACTCTGAAAGGGTGTTAACAAATCCACAACATTAAATAGCTCTTCATCATGTCCTGATGCCAAAGCAAATATCGTGCATTTTAATTCTAGGTTATTGTGCCAAGCGTTATCTACAAATCCACTAAAGGCTTGTATGGCCTTTTCATCCCAAACAAAGGGGTTTTCACCAGCTGGCTGAATTAAGTTATAAAGACTGCATCTAAAAGCCTGCGCTCTCACCTTGAGAAACTCTTCACTAATTGAGTATATGTGTTTCATGGATACCACATCCTTGTCTCCATAATCGACAAATACTACTTTGACATGCTCAAAGGATTGTACTCCATTAATCAGAGCTCTGGACCATCTTCCATTTGCTGTTCGCTTTGCCAGACAAGCGCGAGAGCTCCCTTCGTAAGGAGCTGGCGTGTTTTTGCAGTAGTCATCGATATTACGCATCAGAGTTGTGAACCCTAGCACGTTCCTCATCAGTTGGCACCAGAAAGAACCAGGGGTTTCAACATGAGACACTCTGACTTCGACGGTACTGCCCACCTCCAGCTCTGCTTTACAAGAATCATCTGGCTTCATTTTCAAGAAATTCAGTGTGAGGAGAGAAAAATCAGATGCTATTTTCTCTTTGTCCTGCATCGTTTGTCCTGCTGTAGCATTCGTAAGGCTGATTGTGTCAGTCAAAACTTTGGAAACAGCTAGGGTCTTACTATCTTTCTTGACTTTCTGTTCCCCCTCTACCTTCTTGGCAGAAGATGCCTTGCTAGTCTCCAAAACAAAATGACTTATGATATGGCCCGGGCAGTGAGGATTTAGTATAGTATTTTCTTTTATTTCAAATTCCTGATACTTGGCATAGCCAGCTTGTGCAATGACCTTACTAATGTTTTCTTCTCCTGTTCTAGATTCATCAACAATCTCTATAACATATTGGTGATCCTTCTTATCAAGAATATGAATCACTAACTCTTTATGGAGTACTGTCTTTTTAAAAAAAGAAATCGCCTCCCGGCTCCAAGTTTTTCCCAAAGGCCAAATATCGGCCAAGGTACACTTCAGAGCCAGTATTGGTAACTGCCTAAACTGCGGAAGCAACATTCTCACATCACACCAGTCGACATTTTCAGAATTGCCCTGATCCACCAAGAAAACATCCACACTCTTGCTGTCTAATCGGGTCACCATGGCCCGGTAATAACCATTTTCTTTCCATTTGACACAGCAAAGGTCGTCAGGCTCAGGTTTCAAAATGACACCATCCAGTTTGCTGGCTGAAGAATAGAAACTGCACATTCTCTTCATCAACTTGCTGAAGGTGCCATTGTGTTTCCTCAACCTAATCCAGAACTCAGAAGGACTCTTAACAAACTCCACTTGGGCATCATAGAAAGCATTCATCTTTAATCTGATAGAACTTAAAGCTGGAAGGGAAACCTCCTCATCCACTTCCTCAGCAGGGGACAAAGACTGAAATGTCCCATCTATTTCCTCCTCATCTTCCTCCTCTACCCCTTGGCTCTGAAGGAACTGGTCAGCCAGGCAACACGACTGTCCTCCAAACGCACTGTTGAGATTAATCCCATCTTCTCCATACAGGGTGACATAATACATGTGCTCAAAGGAACAATAAAACTCAATCTTCGCATTCACCGCCTGACCTAGGATCAGAGCCTTCAAATCACCTACTTGTGACCGAGACCAGCCTCTTCCACAGTCCCAGAGCCCATACAAAGCACAGGGGTAGGTCACCACAGGCATTCTGAAATAGTCAGGCAACAAGTAGCGGAGGCTACTGCAACTTACTAATTCTTTCCTTCCATAATCAACGTGAAGCACCTGGGCACAGCGCTGTGGCCGAAAAGTCTCAAGCAGGAGAGCCCGGTACCACTGTCCATCCAATCCACAAGAAGCACAGGGAGAGCCGGGCTTGTCTGGGCTCTCCTCCCTCTCCTCCCAAGTGGTACTGCAAGAGTCCTCATCCTCCGTCCCTGGGGACCGCCGGTATACCTGGGCCATGCTCTCTGAGAGGCTGTGGATCTCGTGCGAGAGACTCCGGAGTTGGCAGTGAATTCGGTGAGGATGACATACTTGGGTTACGACCACCGGCTCTGTCACGCCCAGTTGCAACTGGGGGTAGAAGTAATCCAAACCAGGATGCTCTTGTTTGGGCAACACTCGCGGGAGAACTCCGGAGGACCCCAGGCTAGCTGCTGCGGTCTGGTAGCATTTGAGTAGGGAACAGAAGAGACTGTCAGGTACCTGCCTGGCGAGGCCGAGCTCCTCCATCTGCTGAGACACAGCCGGCACCTCCAGCAGGACCAGACGATGGAGGAGAAGCACGTCCAGAACCCGTCCGTGCACCTCCTTGCCCTGCAGGTTGCTAAGAAAGTCCACCGCACTGGGCGACCAGTGGTGGGGTTCGCCACCGCCCGCGCCCTCACCGCCCGCGGGTACCAGGTAGGCCAGCACACAGCCCAGCACCTCCGAGGGCAGGTGGAAGAACTCACTGCGGCCGGGCGCCAGGGAGCCTGCACCTGCGGTGATGGTGCGGCCCTCATCCAGCAGGAAGACTCGGCTCTCCTGCGCCTGCCGGCTGATCACGCGGCAGCGGTGCCACAGAAGCCCCACCTGCACCAGGCACAGCTCTCCAGGCAAGGCGGAGGCGCCGCCCAGCGCCCACAGGCCACGCGTGGCTGCAGCCTCCTGGATCTCCCTGCTCAGCCGCACATACTCTTCCCGTCGCTGGCCCACCAGTCCCCATAGCTGCACCGGGATCACCTCGGGATGCACGTCCACGAAGGACACCCGCAGGACCAGCGAGGCCCCGGGAGTGGGCAGCCCAGGGGTGGAGCTCATCCCTGCAGCCCTCCTTGGGCTCCCCAGTGCCTCCAGGAACACTCCCACCACACCAGGACCAGGGGACTCAAGGAATGGGAGGACCCCGGGACACCTTCGGCCAGAGGCCTGGCACAGGGCTCGGAGACTCGCGTCGACTGGTAGGAGCCGGCGGCCGTCCAACCGCCCACCGTGCCTCGGAGGTTGGGCAGCGCGCGGCCGCCACGGGGAGTAGGCGGAGCAGGTGGCCACGGGGCCTGGGGCGTGGCCTATGGGCCAAGGGGACCTCTAGGGACTGTCAGCAGGCTTGGAGAGAGGCGGAGGGTTGGGATGTGGTCTGCTGCTTCCCTGAGCGTCTTCCAGTCTGCAGCACGGCAGTGGGGAAGCCTGGCAGAGGTCCACCAGGAGGGCAGGTCAAGGAAGTTATTGCCTTTTCAATTTTCCAGCAGTGGGTTGGGCGATGCGTGCCAAGCACGGTGCCAGGCATTGAGGTTCCGGAAGAGAAACTGGAAGGGAGAATGGAGACGCCAACGGTGGGTTCCCAGGCGTTGAAGCTGGAACACTCAGAGGCCCAACAGTGCGCTTGCGCCCTCAGTCCTTGGAGAGCATTTGACTACATGGTGCATTGGAGACTAACTTACCCTGTTTCATCATCTGAATTGACAGAGCTGTTAGGCACTTATAGTAAAGTCTGAGGTCATTGGTTCCTTCCCCGCACTTTATGGTATGGCTTCCTTTGCAGCACTGACATCTAACCGTGCCCTAGCTATGACATTTAACTTTTTAGGTATTCTTTATAGATTCAGAGCTAGCACAGAAAAGGCCCATAAAAGGCCGGGAGGACTGAGCTGTGACTTCAAACTCCGGCAGGGAGTGGTATGGAAAATGCAGGTGAACTTTGATACATGCCAGTCTAGCTACATTAGCTATGCTGTGCACTCGCAAAGTTATGTACCTCTGGGAGGGGGGGCGTGGGGGGGTGAGTAGAGGGGCTCTCAGTTTTCCCAAACTCTCTATGATAGCCAGGCTGCCCTTGAACTCAGAGACTCATCTGTCTCTGCGTCCCTAGTGCTAGGATTAAAGGTGTGTCCCACCAAACTGGGCTTCGGTGGTGTCTTCTTGACTTTGCTCAGATTAGAAGTTAGCACGTGCTTCTAAATTGCCCTGTATTGCTTTTCCCATGGTACTTTCCCCACGGTGTTGCAATTCTCTTGGTCCTCCCACCAGCCTGCTGGCTCCTTTTAACAGGGACTCTAGGATGGGGTGGACACAATGCATAATAGCTAATGAATGAACAAATCTGATTTCTTCCAGCTTTGATCTTTTTCCCATGATGAACTTATCCTTAAAAAATTTAATTGCATTTCCCAAATTTTCTTTAACTCTTTCATATTCATTATAGAAGAAAGGCAATGATTGGCTTAAAGTTATTTAGCAAAAAATAAACATATTTAGCAAGATTAACTCAGGTGTTCCCTCCTTGTGACTGGCTCTTCCCCCAGGCACAACTGTTCCTGTCTTTTCCATAACCTCAAGCTACTGATTACATTTTGACATTGTGGGCTGTTTCTCCTTATTACTGTGGTGTGAGCATCATGAAAGTGGGAACTCTTCTCACTTATCTTTGTGTTCTCAGTGCTTCTTATGGTGTTGAGCCTTTGACACCCAGTGAACATTTCAGGAAAGAGTTAAAAGCAAATCTGGGACTACGTGTTTTGCAATGGATTAGGGAGCTCATCCTGAAATGGTCACCTGAGATGGTTTATCATCACATGGAATAGCAGACGTGCTGGAGTGCATCAGTTGTCAAGGTGAATTTCCTCCTTTGGATTGGCCTATGCGCATGTCTGTGAGGCATTTTCTTGGTCTGTGAGGCCCAGCCCACTGTGGGCAGGTGGTCATGGTATAAGAAAGCAGGTTGACCATAGGGCAGGGGAGCAAACCAGTAAGCAGCGTTCCTCCATGGTCTATGCTTCAGTTCCTACCTCTAGGTTCATGCCCTGAGTTCCTACCTCAGCTTCTCTTGATGAAAGACTGTGAGCTATAAGCCAAATAAACTCTTTCCTCCCCAAGTTGGTTTTGGTCAGTGTTTTACCACAGCAATAGAAAGCTAAGTAGGACAACAGAGATTTC